TATCTACTTCTTTCCTCAACATTCTTTTCTTTGAGTATTTCTTTTTTCTTCGACTTTAATCAATTTTAGTAAATAACAAGCGCCCTAAAAATAAGAAAACAAAAACAAGTTAAATATTTAGGTATATAATTTTTTTAACAACAATTTTCTTTTTTTAATATTATATTTTTCAGCTTATTTTATTTAGATTTTCTATTTTGTGTAGTCTTTGATTCTTTTCTTTGAGTATTGCTGTTTTATTCTCTTTAGTTTATTATAGCTTTATTTATATAACACTTTTCTAAATATCTACAGAATACAGAATGTAGTAAAGCTACAGAAGGAAAGCATTCTACAGCTACAGAAGAAAACATTCTACTGCTACAGAAGGAAAATATTCTACAGCTACAGAAGGAAAACATTCTACAGCTACAGAAGGAAAACATTCTACAGCTACAGAAGGAAAACATTCTACAGCTACAGAAGGAAAATATTCTACAGCTACAGAAGGAAAACATTCTACAACTACAGAAGGAAAACATTCTACAGCTACAGAAGGAAAACATTCTACAGCTACAGAAGGAAAACATTCTACAGCTACAGAAGGAAAACATTCTACAGCTACAGAAGGAAAACATTCTACAGCTACAGAAGAAAACATTCTACAGCTACAGAAGGAAAACATTCTACAGCTACAGAAGAAAACATTCTACAGCTACAGAAGGAAAACATTCTACAGCTACAGAAGGAAAACATTCTACAGCTACAGAAGAAAACATTCTACAGCTACAGAAGGAAAACATTCTACAGCTACAGAAGGAAAACATTCTACAGCTACAGAAGGAAAACATTCTACAGCTACAGAAGGAAAATATTCTACAGCTACAGAAGGAAAACATTCTACAGCTACAGAAGGAAAACATTCTACAGCTACAGAAGGAAAACATTCTACAGCTACAGAAGGAAAACATTCTACAGCTACAGAAGGAAAACATTCTACAGCTACAGAAGGAAAACATTCTACAGCTACAGAAGAAAACATTCTACAGCTACAGAAGGAAAACATTCTACAGCTACAGAAGGAAAACATTCTACAGCTACAGAAGGAAAACATTCTACAGCTACAGAAGGAAAATATTCTACAGCTACAGAAGGAAAACATTCTACAGCTACAGAAGAAAACATTCTACAGCTACAGAAGGAAAACATTCTACAGCTACAGAAGGAAAACATTCTACAGCTACAGAAGAAAACATTCTACAGCTACAGAAGGAAAACATTCTACAGCTACAGAAGGAAAACATTCTACAGCTACAGAAGGAAAACATTCTACAGCTACAGAAGGAAAATATTCTACAGCTACAGAAGGAAAACATTCTACAGCTACAGAAGGAAAACATTCTACAGCTACAGAAGGAAAACATTCTACAGCTACAGAAGGAAAACATTCTACAGCTACAGAAGGAAAACATTCTACAGCATAGCCCTCCGATGTTTCCTTTGGTTTCATATTCCTTAAGGAGATTCATCATCCCTTTATACTGATCCTCCCATGAGAAAGATGCTAGAGAAGGTACTCCGAGAATATAAACCTTCCCATCAATATTTACAAGAACTGCTAATCTGTCATTTTTGAATCGTCTGTCTTTTCTTAATTCAAATAAGGTTTTGCCACCAAAATGAATGATAGGTGGATATTTTGAGGCTTTTAAAGCAGCTTTAATGTCATTTCTGGCTTGTTTACTTATTATTAAGTTTATTTTTTTCATATGTGATGAGGCTGCTGAAATGCTGCGATGTAATTTACTTATATCCACACCAGCTTTATGAACAACAGAAGTGACAACATTCTGAAGAACTGTAGGAGATATATCATTGGTTGATGCTGCAAGAGCAACACTACCGCTGTAAATATCTTTAGGAATTGTGCATGTAATTGGTTTTTTATTTATTTTTTCTTTCCTCTTTGTCCAATCTCCAGGTTCAAAGTCTAAATCATTCAACGTTTCTGTATCATTTTTATCTAAAATTAGTTCTTGATCTAAAGTTGCTTTAACTTCCAGAGTATTGTGTTTTTTAAACTTTTTTTTTTAATACTCTCACTAGACATTTTACTATATTTTTTTATCCTTGGTTCCAAGAATAAACTTTTCTTTTTTTTTTGGCTTTCTTGATCATCTAAAAACTTCAAATCTTCGGCTTTGTCTTTATCTGATCTTTTCTTGTCGATCATTATGGTATGTCTAAGATTTGGTGTACCAATCCAAAACACTTTATTAATCTTTAGTATAAAATCATTTTGTTTTTTTAAATCTGCAGTTAATCCTCTCTTCATGCTTTTTTAAATTGTAGTATTTATTTTCTAGATTACTCAGACGCTTTCTAAGGGTTTTGTCAGAAACTGTTGGAAATCCAGCTTTATTCCAAGGAGCTTTAATCAAAGATAATATGTACTTGCATTTACCATTTTTGCACTGACTGTCTTTCATCTTATTAGGCATGCAATATAGTATAGATGACTTTTTTGCATTAGTTTCCAGTGTAGATTTTATGTAGTAAAAGTTTTTTAGTATTTCCATTCCAGTTTGAAGTTGAATACCTTAATAGTATAAAAAACATTTATTAATGTGTAAATTATTAATACTTTAATACTTGATTATTTATTAACATTAATTTTTTTTTAGAAAAGTTGATATTATAAGCAATAATGTTATCATTCTTTATATAAAGTACAAATGTATATATTAAATTATGTATAAAAAGTATAATTCGAGTGCAAAATAAAGAGTATATAATCATTAATTGAAATAAAATCACCTGATATAGCTTTGATTGGGTTCTCCAATAAGAAAAAAAACTTTTTTTTATCTGTGTTTTTATTTTCTTTAATGTTCATCATTAAACATAAACTAAAGTCATAAAACCTGCATAAATTACAAAATATTTTCAAAAATAAATACTACTGTATTTAAAAAATAATAATTAGAAAGAAAAGCAAATTGTTCAAACATATCTGTAAATTCAAGAAAACTACAAATTCATAAACTTCTCTATTTTCATAAAATTCTCTCTATATATGCAACAAAACTTCGATATGGCAATAGGTATTTTATTTTATTTATTATAATCTAAACAAGTAAAATTGTTAAGACCATACAAATATAATAAAATAATGAAGAAAAGAAAATAGTTGATCAAAAACAAAATAAAAGTGTAAAACAAAGTATTTCATCATTCTTATAATACGCGTTAAAATAATCCTTTTTTTTTGTGTGTGTGTGTGTGTGTGTGTGTGAGTTTTAACACTATTTAACACAATAAAACAGCAAAAGTGGGCATATTCTGCTTTAACTACCCTTTTTATTTGAAAATATACATCAATACCTATCTTATTAAAAAAAAATCAGTTCAAAATTTTAATATTATTACCTCCCCCAAGCCTTACTAATATAGTCATTTTTGGACCATTTTTTTAATTAAAAGGGGTCTTGGGGAGGCACAATAGTGGTCCAATCAGTCTAATTTTTTTCCAAAGTTAGTTTTTTAATACCAATGTCCCACATTTCAAAGGGTAGTTAATTGAAAATCAAAAATTTCCATAAAAGCAAGTACCCTAATATATATATATATATATATATATATATATATATATATATATATATATATATATATATATATATATATATATATATATATATATATATATATATATATATATATATATACATATATATATATATATATATATATATATATATACATATATATATATATATATATATATATATATATATATATATATATATATATATATATATATATATATATATATATATATATATATATATATATATATATATATATATATATTCACACATACATATATGCATACAAAAGAAGCAAAATTATATAAAAATTTTAAAAAAAAGTCATCATTTTTTTAAAAACAGGAAAAAAAACTATAATAAATTTTTTTTGTAAAAATGCTTATTTTTAATTTCTAGTTTAAAAATGTCATTTTCTAGGCAGTGAAACCTAAAATAATTTTTTTTTTTTTGAAATGATGACTATTTTTAAAATTTCTGTATAATTTTGCTTCTTTTGAGACCCAACATGATATACTTTTGAAAAACTATTTTTCTGATAATTATAGGTATCCATCTGGTGTTTATATATTTTGTTTTACTATTTTACCATTTTTTTTTTTTTTTTACACATATTTTACCACTTAATCTTACTTGAGTTTTTTTAACATTTTATCTGTTTTTTATTCATTTTTTCTTGTTTAACAAAAAGCTCTTACTAAAATAATTCTTTTAAAAATGTGCATGATTGGCTTTTACCATTTTTTTAGGCTTAATATGTGTAAAGAAATGTTAATGAAAGGAAATTCAGAAAATACACATCATGATTGTTTATTTCGAAAAAACACACATCTTATATAGTAAATATACAAAATTTTCTTACAAATTAGTAAAATGAACAAAAAACACATTTGATCTCCAGATCACACAATGAATAATAAATGAAACAAACTATTTATTTACAAAATAAATATTGGTTGATTTAAATTAAACGAAATTAAAAATTATTTTGACCATTTAAAGACCAACAGAACACCCTTAATAAAGAATCTGCATTAAATGTGAGTTTCCATCATGACAACATTTGTTGGTAATATAGCTAGAATCAAATGTGTGTTTTCTTGTAATGCTTCTCAATTACATATGGTAGCTTTTTTAATTACGTGTGTTTCTCAATTACAACTTTTTATGTTATCAATTTGAACATTTTTAAAAGACTTATGTACGGAAAATAACTTTCTTAAAATAAAAATATTTCTAGTTCTAGCAATAAAATTTTTAATGCAGTTGTAGGAAATTAATAACTTGTTTCCTTGATTAAAAAGTTTGTTTTTAAAAATAGTTGGTAAATGTGTTTTGAAAGAGAAAAATTGTATGTATATTAGTATAATTAATACTGCTGTTACAATAAAAATAATTTTAAATAAAAAAATTTAGAAATTATGTGAAGATAATATGAGAGCCATAGAGGCAGACAGAGATGAACTGGTTAAAGAAAATGAGTATCTAAAGGCTGTGCTTTCAAATAGAGAAGAAATTCAAGCTAATAAACTCTATGATGAAAACAAAAAACTAAATGAAGAGATTACACAATTAGTAAAGAGAGTTAATGAGTTGACTGAAGAAATGGATAGCCTATATGAAGAGAGGCAGACACTTATTTCAAGTTTACTCAGTCTTCATTCAGAACAAGTTGAGAGTGTAAGTTTTAGAAATTTGTTTTTTACAAATTGCATTTGTTTTTTTATCTTTGTTTTAAGTGGATTTTTTGCACTTCATGAAATGCAGATCATTTTATAGATGTTCCAGAAATCACAGGAAAGTATTTTTTCTTTTTTCTAAAAAATTACAATTAAAAAAAGAAATTCTATTTGAATTGATATATATGAAACAAGGGATTTAATAATTTTATACTTATAGTTTATTTTGTACAACAAAGATGACTCACACATTTTGTGTGATAACATGTGTGACATCGCAGAAATTTAGGAAATTTTAATAAAATATGAAATGCTTGGGTGGAAAAATGTTTTAAGTTAAGAATTGTAAAAGATGGCTACAAATATTTTAATCACATTTTTTAGTTCCATTTTATGCCCTTCACATTTCTCTAAATTTTTCAGCTTCCTATTAGTACATTATGTTTCATTTAGTATAAACATTGTAATATATTATTGTATATATTTTGTGTTTATTTGTAGGTGATTAGAAGTCGAACAAGTTCTTTTGGGTCATCGCACAGTAAAGATGGACATAATAAAATTGATTTTTTCGATAAGTATGATGTTGATTCCATTATGTCTATCAATGAAATAGTTGAAGTAAAAAAGGTGTTTTGTTGTTTAGTTTTTTTTTATTCTTAGTAAGAATATTCTTTTTACCAAATGATGATTGGGATGAGTATATCTTCAGATTTTTTAAAGGTTCTTACTGAAGTTCTAGCTGAAAATAAAGAAATCAAAGCGTCTCTGCATAATTTGAAAAATCAACTTGGTCAGTGTGAAAAAGAAAAGCAGGATATTGAAGCAGAATACAGTAAAATAAAAAACGAACATGATATCAAGTGCAAAGAATATGATAAAAGTATTCAAGTAATTATTTATATTCCTAAATTTTAATTGATGAAAATTTATATTTAAAGGAAAAAAAAATCTTTTTGTTGATTTTATTTATTTTCTATGGAAAGTATTATTTCATTTTAAAGTTCCAAGAGTGTTTAAATAAATCTTAATGGTATAAAAAAAAGGAAATTAAACATAATTTTGGAACAACAAATGAGTACAAATAAACAATGTTGAAGTTTTATAGACATCATTTTTACTTGTGATTTACTACCATTATTTATTACCAGTTAATATAGTATTTCAATAATGCACACACATGCACACATACCCACACACACACTATACAATTATTAGAAGATTCAAAAAAACTTGTTTTGTTTTTTTACTGTGATAATACAACAATTATTTTTTTACATAACTTTATTAAACCTAATTTTTCTAGGAAAAGAATGAAAAAAATTTAAGTCTATCTAAAGTGAACAAAGAAAAGAGAACCCTTCAAATGCAGGTTTCTGCTCTTCGCGAACGTAATCGGTCATCTGAAGCCAAAGTATTATCATTGGAGGATGAAATAAAAAGGATTAGTGATCAGTTAAAAGAGTTAAATAATAATTCTACTGATTTACTCAAAAAAAATTTTGACGAGCTACAAATAAAAAATCAAGATATCTCTAGCCAGTTGTTTACTGTCATGGTTGAACGAGACAGTTTATTAAAAACTATCAAAAAAATGGAAGAAGATTCTGAATTAGTTGAAAAAAAATATTACAACAGAGTAAACTCACTTGAAATTGATTTCAACAAACTTCGAAACAGCAAAGTGCGCAGAAAAGAAGATGTGAGCTTAGAATCAAAAAATAGACAGCATATCTGTGAATGCCCATCAATGAAATGCAAATGTATGTTTTTAAAAAGTAAAAAAAGTAATAAAAATATAAAACCATCTGAAATTTCTGAATTCTGTCAACATTGTAATCATGAAAGTACACCATCTTCTGATTTTGCTGAAGTCATTACTTGTAATCTTGAAACTGTGGCATCTTCTGAAATTGCTAAGGTCAGTAGTTGTAATTTTGAAAGTTTATTACCTAATGAAAATAGTTGCAGAGGAACTATAATTAGTACTCAAACTGAGACTTTAGAAACTGAAAGGTTAAAAAAAGAGAATGAAGTTTTAAAAGAAAAAAATACAGAAGTAATTCTTGAGGTTACTACACTAAAAGACACTATACAATCCTATTGCCTTGATATTAGGAATGGAAAGCAAAAATTAGATTCTTTACAAGAGACATGTGATGCACTGTTGTTAGAAAAATCTGCTGTTGCAGATAGTCTTCGTAAAATATTTCAAAGTAATGGAGAATACATTTCAAATGATTCTTTGATACATCAAATCAATGTATTAAATGAACTGTTAAATCAATTAAATGTCAAAAATCAAACTTTATCTTCTTCTTGTAAATCACTTTCACTGCAAGTTGTTGATTTGAAAGAAAAATGTGATAAGCTATCCGAAAAATCATTTCTAAAGGATCTATCAAGCGAAATTGACATAAGAAATCAAGCTGCTTGTTTGATTAAGGAAAAAGATGAAGCTTTATGTGAGTCTAACATGTTTTCTCAGAAATGTGTTTTATTAGAAAATCAAATAAAGCAACTAAAGGATGAAAATTGTGATCTATCAAGTGAATGCAAAATGTTGTTAAGCAAAATTGAGACTTTAAACAGTGATTTAATAAATTTAAAAGAGAATAACAATTTACTGCAATTAAAATTGTCTTCTAAGGAAAGTGAACATGAAGAAAAATATTTTTCTTTGCATACTCAACATGAAAAACTCACAGAACATTATAATTGTTTATTAGAACAACACAATTCAATAACATTAAAACTTGATCAAGTTGTTAAAGAAAATTGGGCTTTAAATAAAACATACAATGAAAACTTTAACAGCATTCAAATAAAAAACGACGAATTAATGGAACATTGTGTCAGCAGTGAGTTACAAATTAAAAACTTAACTTTTGAAATAGCTGAACTGCATGCCAGTAATAAAAGCAGAGAAATTGATTACCAATCTCAAATTTCAAACCATTTATCGCAAATTGATAATGAAAGAAAATCTTTTAAAACAACATATGACACATTACGTGCTGAATGTGATAAATTGAAGCGAGAGAAAGAGCATTATTTAAAAATTGTAGATACTTTGCGTGAAGAAAATTGTGAGATAAATCTTGAATTGAAAAAACTTCGTGTAAGCCCAACAGAAGACTTTTTTTATCAGTGTGTTCAAGAAGATAAAAAAAATATGGAAGAATTGCAGACTACGATCAGACAATTAACAGGGGAAAAAGCTGGATTAATGGATAAAATTAAAAGTAACGAAGAAATTTCATCAACAAATATACGAAGTTTAAAAGCCCATAAAAGTGAATTACAGCATCGTGTTGCTTCTTTAGAACATGAAAATGAAAACTTGAGAAGAAATCAGTTTTGTGAAGATCATGTTAAACGAATTATTGAACTTGAAGATGAAAAAGCTGAATATTTACAGAAGCTTAAAGAATCTGAGGTTCTTCTTCTTGATTTGCAAAAGGCGTTAGCACAAGCTAATGATGTTGCTATGCAAAAATCTTTAGAAGGAACAAAAATTCGAAGATGTTTTGAAAAAAAGATAGATAAACTTATGCATGTAAATGCCGAGCTAAAGAGGAGATCATTTTTTTCGGAAAGTGAAAATAATTCGTTATCATCAACATTTTTAGAATCAAATAAGAATGACAATCTTGCAACTCGGAAAGAAACTATAGACTTTTCTGTTGCAACCCGTAAAGAAACTAAAGACTTTTCTGTCAGAAGAAAATCTTCTCTGCCACCTCTTCCATTAAAAAAAAAAAATTATTTAACAAATGTACATTCGCAATCATTATCTGCATCGCCTTCACATGAAGAGTCGTCTTTAAGCTTATCAAATCTTGAACAAGATCTAGCAGAACAATTAAAGCAGCTTCTAGATATAACTAACGAACTTGAATGTGAAAATTTATCAATACAAAATCCTTTGATTTCCGCAACTGACGTAAGGTAATATTTTAAAAATTGCTTCAATCTATTATTTTTTTCTGAATGTATGTATTTATGTATTAGGGTCGACTGAATTTAAAAAATTTTAAATAAAAATATTTTTAGTGGTCCCCACAGACCCTTGAATATTTAATGTCCCTAATGGTACTCAAAAAAAGGTACTCAAAAATGGTACTCAAAAAAAAAGTACTCAAAAAAAGCTCAATAAAATTTTAATAAAAAAAAAAAAATGGTACTCAAAAAAAGCTCAATAAAATTTATTATAAAAATCTCAAAAATAATTATCGTATTTTATAAAAACATTTAAAAAAAGTTTATCTAAAAAAACTAAACTTTTTTAATAAATATAAAAAAGTGATATGTGAATGCTTTTATGCAATAATATTCAAATTAGTTCTATTTATATAAAACAATTACTATTTATGAAATTTTTATAAAGTTTTGTTCCAGGTTGGCTTACTTTAAAACAAATTTTTTCCCAATGCTTTTATTAACTCTTCGTCTCTGTTTGTTTGTCTTTTAACATCAAATCTCGCAATCAGTTTTTGAGTCACTTCCTGATGAAAAATTTTCTTTAAATTTTGTATACATACTCTTGCTTGATGACAATATAACAATATTCAATAATTAGTTATGCATTAAGTCAATTATTTTAGTTAATTTTTATTAAGCTTATCTTTTACATGGGAAGAAGAGGAATAATTTTTGAAATTTCTACCTTATTTGTTCCTACGCGCATTTAGCTTATTTGGATAAGGCGTTGACTTTGTAAATGTGTCTGTGGTCTGAGACCCGCCTCTTCCTGAATTTTTTTTGTTTTTTTACACACGCTGAATGTTAATAAAATAAAATAGTAATATCAGAAAAAATTGATTGCAAAATTTGTGTTTTAATAACATATAAAAGCATTGGGTTTTAAAAATTCTACTTGTTTCAGATTATATTAGGAACTCTTTAAATATTTAAGGGTAAGTAGGGACCCCTAAAAATATTTTTTTATTTAAAAAGTTTTTAAATCCAATGTTATTATAACAAATCTAAGGGTGTAACAGGAGTAATTTTTATAAAAAACAATTTTCAGCCCATCCTAGTATGTAGGTACGAACGTACGTACGTATGTATGTATTTATGTATGTAGGTATGTATGGGGGTTCTAAAATGGTCAAAATATGCGTGAGGGGTCATCCATAAAGGTTGCCACGCTTAGTTTAACTAATGGCAAGAAGTCGGAGAATGTTGGCTCTCGTGCGGAGGTTTTTATAGTATATAGCACCTTATGTTCAATAAAAATCTCCGTGGAAGTGAACCAATAAACTTCTACTTCTGGTTAGTATTTAAATTCTGAATGACGTACTTTATTGACGACCCCTGACGTAATTTTTAGATAACTCCTTACTTGCTCATATTTTCTCATATGCAACCTAGATACTAAAGATAAAACGTTGAATTACAAATTCAAATTAAATATGTAACACTAAATTATTTTCAACTACCGTTATTGTTGTCAGTGTGACTCGATCCGCACCTTCGCAGCGTATAACGAAGCAATTCCGCTTTCCATTTGGTAGCGGAATTACAAAAGCACTTTCCTTAAGCAAATATGGTAGCGGTAAATAAGTTCGCTACCAAAAGAAATTTTACGGTAAATCGGAAAATGATATAATGTGAAAAATAAGTAAAATAAAATAATGGTGTTATCAAAATAATCTTAGACGTGTTTAAGTTGCTTAATACCAAATGTCTACAACTAGTTTGACATTAATATATTAAGCATACACTTGCGTTGATCTATTATCTCAATTATCTCATTGAGGTTAAAGCTTTATCTTTTAAAAATACAAAATAGCAGAACATTACATAGAATTAGCAGAACAGCTGCTTGTTTCGTTTAGTGAAAAATCACAACAACAATTCAATATTTTGTTTAAATATCGTCATGTAAAATAATACTTGTTTTTCAAAATACTTTTGTTTATAACGGTAAATTGTAGGGGTTTATTTTAGTTAATGCTTTTATTTCAGTATTAATTTCATTTACATTTTTTAAGAGCTCTGCATTTGATAGAATCATATCTTTTGATCAAAAAAAAAGTCTTCAGAGCTATGATTATATTAATTTCTATCTTTAAACTTTCTGATTTTAAATAGCCATAAAAATGTAATTGAACGGTTTTATATAGGAAAATAAATAAAAATAATAATATCTTTAACGTTCTGAGCGTTTCAAATACGTTTAGAACGTACTTTTAAAAATAAATGCCCGTTGATTTGTATTTAATTTTGTGTTATAATTAATTTGTGAAAGCTTTAGGATTTAAGATTTTTAATTATTTATCTTATAGAAATTATCTTATAGAAACCCTGGGTCCCTAACCGGAACAAGCAATAACATTACTTCTAAAGACGACAAACAGCAAATGAAATACGAGTGCTGGATTTAGTTTTTATAGAATTTTATTTTTTATTTGGGTTTTTATTTGGTGTCATATTTATTTATTTTTTTTAATTTTTTTTTTTATATTTTTGAATATATTTTTGTAAATGAAGAGTTTTTATAAATTAAAGATTATTTGTATTAATTTATTTTTATTTTTTGAACAAATTTTATAGTTTTTTAAAAGTGCTTTTTTTAGTTGTAACTCGGTGGCAAACGATTACATGCAAGTAAATCTATAATCAGTACATTAAATTAAATAGATAATCAGTTATATTTTACTTTTTACTTTAGAAGATTTTACTTACTTAATAATTATTTCAAATTGTTTTTTCAGCTCTTTGCAATTATAAATATAGTGATAAATTTTTTCCCAAATACTTTTAGTTAGAGAGGAGTGTCGAAAGCAAACGAATAAATTTAAAAAAGTTTTTAGGACACGGCGATTTTTATTTGGGGTAGGTACAATCGGCGGGGCGTGGCGGATCAGCGGGGCGGATCATTTTAACGGTACAAACGGCGGGGAGGATAATTTAAACGTTGCTAACATTTTATAATGCAAGTGATACTTCATTAAACAAAATAAAAAAAACTTCTTTTATTTTATTTTTTATTTGATAAGTATTTTTTATAGATTCAGATATAGTTTAAGTTCATTAAAGAAATAATATTTAAAAGGTATTTGCAAATTATAATTTTAATAAACGACGAAAAATATTATATAATTTTAAATTCATTTTTACAAAAAACAACGTGATCCACCAATTTATATCAAGTGAGCTGCCAAACATTATATAGTAATCCGCCTAATATTTTGATTGCTCATATCAAACTCTTTAAGTTTTACCAATTGTTCTTTCAAGAAACAATGTGATCCGCCAAACTTTATGATGTGGTCAGCTTAATATTTTGATTGCTTACATCAAACTCTTTAAGTTTTAATGATTGATCTACCAAAAAACAACGTGATCCGCCAATTTATAATATAAATAAATATAAATTGCGGATAAATTATAATATGCAAATACCTTTTAAATATTATTTCTTTAATGAACTTAAACTATATTTGAATCTATAAAAAATACTTATCAAATAAATAAATAAAAAAAAAAGTTTTTTTTATTTTATTTAATGAAGTATTACTTAAGTAATACTTCATTAAATAAAATTAAAAAAAACTGCAAGTACTTGCATTATAAAAAGCAACGCACAGTGCCTCACAGATATGAAAAAACGGCAAAAACCCTATTAATTTTTTAAATTTATTTTGATGTTTTTTAACTTTATCTTGATTGTTATAAGCATACTGAACAAGGTAAACCCATTTTTTATGATTTTGTAAATTTTTACTCTTTTTGTGAGCTTGTTATATGCAGGTTGTTTGTGGGCAAAAATTCACTAGAAATTTTAGAGTTTTCAAGTAGATCTTAAAATTGTCACAAAATGGTCATTTTTAAAAATTTTTCTTTCATTTTTTCGGTGAACATCATATATATATATATATATTATATCATCCGGTAAGTAACTAACATTGGACTTTTATCAACACCAAAAATTAATGTTAGAATTTCACAATTTGTGAAAAAATTAAAAATTTTCAGAAAATAATATTCACAATATTTACTTTTTCTAAAAATGTCCACACTTGTCCACCCTGAATTTTGATGGGGAATTATCTTGAATATATACAGGAATGTCCGGAAAAAAAAAACCCGCCCCAAAGTAGCACGTTTTTGAGAAATTGAATTTTAAAGTTTTTTGCAATTAATAAGAAATCCGCAAAAAGTTGTTTACAAATCCAAAAAATTAGTTAGTAATATGTGCCTTTGTGATTACATCTCAAAATGAAAATAATAGACTTGATTCCCAAAGTAAGAGAAATTTGTATAACTAACAAGGATATTGTTAGCCTCCTTTATGAGGAAATTTTGATATCAGAAGGTTTGGATGGTGAAAAAGTGCATAGTGAAAAATTAACAGAAAAAATCCGAATTTTGGTGATAAAATTGAAAGCTAAGTGGATTCCAGTAAACAAAACATATGACAGGCTGTTAATGAAAGAAAAGAAATGGTTGCAAACCGAAATTCAAATTGTTATGAAAGCTGACAATGTAAGCAGAAAAGAGTTCAGTGGAGGGCGACCAAAGAAAGATTGGAAAGATCTAGGAGAGAGAAGTAAGCGAACAAGAGTTGTTGGATTATCTGCGCATGATTCAGAGGTTTTAGCTCTGGCTGCTGTTAAAAGTGCAAAATCATCAGGTGATTTACAAGACTTTGCTTATGTGGTTAAAGAGTCTATTCAAAAAGCATCTGAAATCAGAAAAAGTATGGACAGCAAGGAACCAATAATGATGTGTGAGAAAGAAGCACTTTCATTAAAAGTTAATTGTGATCTCAGTGATGATCAGTATCAAATGATAAGAAACTCCTCAATCAAACACAATGCCAATATTTATTCAACATTACATGCTCTATTCAAGGAAAAAAGTAATTGTTATCCAGAGGACCTTGTTGTAACTGAAACTTCTGCTGAAAGTAAATTACAGTCCATGGTGAATCATACTCTTAAAAAAGTTATTGTATTAAGTGAAGACAATTTAAAAACTTTGGATCCAGATCAAAATGTGCTCAATGGTCGTTTTATTCTAAAAGCAGGGTTTGATGGTGCATCAAGCCAAAGTTTGTATAAACAAAGGTATGATAACACAGACATTGAGGAGGCTAAAAAAAATCAAGAATCCCTTTTCCAAACTGCAATTGTACCTCTTAAGTTAAGTGTAGAAAGTAAAACAATTTGGGAGAATAAGAAACCAAATAGTTCTCATTTTTGCAGACCTCTTCGTCTTTAATACAAAAAAGAAACCACAGAACTTAGCAAGTCAGAAGAAAAACACATTCGTGATCAGATGGCTGATTTGGAAGATTATGTTGAGATTATTACACTTGCGGATGGAAGAAAAGTCAGTATCAATATAAAATCTCATGTTGAACTAACCATGTTTGATGGCAAAGTGGTTAATGCCTTAACCAACAAACACAAAATCATCTGCAAGCTGCAATATTTGTGGTGCGAAACCATCAGAAATGAACAAGCTAGATCTAGTTAAAATTAAACCTGTGAATGATGATGCTATGTCCCTTGGTTTATCATCATTGCATTGTTGGATTAAATGTTTTGAATACATACTTCATTTAGGCTACAGACTGGAGATGACTATTCCAAGGACAGATGTCAGGTTAGCCGAAGATAAGGTACTTGTTCAAGCTAGAAAAAAACTATTCAAGATAGGTTTAGAGCAGAACTTAGTTTACTGGTAGATGTTCCAAAAACTGGATTTGGGAATACAAATGATGGTAATACTGCCCGAAGAGCATTCATGCATGGTGAGGCTTTTGCTGACATAACAGGAGTTCAGGTTGAGTTGATTCTCCGGGTGAGGACAGTTCTTCAAGCTGTTTGTTCAGGGTATGACCTAGATATTGATAGATTTAGCCAATACTGCAATGAGACTCTAGCCTTTATAGTTAATAACTATGATTGGTACAGAATGCCTCCAACTCTTCACAAACTTCTAGTTCATGGACCTGCAATTGCTGAAAATCTAGAACTACCCATTGGTTATTATTCTGAGGAGGCTCAGGAGGCCCAAAATAAAGTGATAAGACATGCTAGGTTAAACCATTCTTGCAAAATTTCCAGACTGAATGTAATGAAAAATCAATTTCAATATTTGCTGATCAGAACTGATCCAGAAATTTCGTCGATCAACTTCATAAAACACAAATCTTCCAATGGAAACCCCTTGTCTGAACAAGTTCTTAACTTGCTGAAACACTAAGTTTAGTTTTTTTGTTTAAATCTAAATTATATTGTTACATGTTATATATGTTATATGTTACAACATACAGAAATTGTAGATATTTGTTTCTGAATAATGTAATCTTTATTGTTTTCACTGTTTACTGACAAAATCGGCTGTTATTAAAGGATTATATGTAGAGTGTTTAAAAACATTGAAAATTTGTCACTTTTTATTTAAATAAACTATATATATATTTATGAATTTGTCTCTATAAGTACAATAAAAAACGACAGAAAAGCATGTTGAGAAAGTGGGAAAAAAATTCAGAATTTGCAAATTTGCAAAAATATTTTGAAAAAAGTGTGCAAAATTATTTTCTGACTTTCGGGTTGGGTTACTGATTAAATTTTAATATATTTAGAGCCAAAAAAGGTTGAAATCCATTCAGAAACACTGATTTGAGGGTTTTTGCCGTTTTTCCGTAGCTGTGAGGCACTGTGCAACGTTTAAATTATCCGCCCCGCCGTTTGTACCGTTAAAATGATCCGCCCCGCCAATTGTACCTACCCTTTTTTTTGCCTTGAAAATTCCCATAGCTTTATTTTAAGAAATACAAAATCTGGTCCAAAACGTCCGCAATTTTTTTATTTTAATGAAAAGTTGCAAAAAAATTACCATCTTTATCATTAAATTAGGACTATAGATATACATTTATGTATTTATGTATATTATGTATTAAGTGTAAATATATATCGAGTGGTTTTTTATAAAATCTGATCTTTAAAAGTTATCTAGATATTAAAATTCAATTTGTTTAAAAAACTAGTACTAAAACTAGAAATAATCAGCTGGATAGACTTAATGACGGTTTCCTTAACTATCAATGTTATTACTTATAAATTTCAATTGGATCTCAAATTCCAGTGTACAACTATATGTTTAAATTACAGTTAAATAGTAGTTTTAAGCAAAATAGACATAAAAATCACTGTTTTTTAATGAAATACGTATATATTTACGACATCAGTCATCCGAAAGGTATATGTTGTAAACTAAATTTTAGATATACACATGAATCCATGTGTGAATTTTTAGATCATAAGATTATATGATGCATCATGGATGGAGTCTATTCACAAGTTTGATGGTAAGTGATTTTATCGGTAAAAGATAGTTCAGAAACCATTATGAATTTTTTAATAGGTTATTCGGAGAAAATTAAATTACTTTGCGCGTAAAAATAAAAATGTTTTCGTTACATCCGTATCCGAAAATTTCATAAATCATTTCAAAAATAAGCAAGTGGGAGAAAATCGATCAAAAAAAATCGCCGTGGGATGGGAAAACAAGTTATATCATAGTAGCCTTTACTGGTATTTGACCGCAGATTATTCTCTTGAGAATTAACAAAAAAAATCCTGAAATCTTCAAT